TACAAGTGTTATTACATAAGGTACATATTTCATGTAATGCGTTTATTGCATTTAGTGCACTGAATCCAATCTGCGCAATTTGTATGCTTTGAGCATAAATCCCGCCCGCTAAAGATGCCGTATATCCCAAACAGGTGGGATATACAATACAACAAACTAAACATAGAGTACAAGAGCAAAGCACTTATATTTAGCTATACAACATGCTTTACTATTCTACTACACTTATGTATCACAAAATAACTACTAAGTCTCTTACGCGCCCTACAGTGATCATTTTGTGTATAGATTATAATTTATGGCACTACCTATTACAATGACAAATCGATTCAACTCACAATAATTTTATTAATATTAATAGTAAGAAACTGAAATCATAACACAATACTAATTTAATATAAAGGTAAAGATAACAGAGTAGTTGCAGGAAAATTACTCCCATTCCTTCTATTTTTTCTGACTTTTGCGGCGTAAATCCCAGCGCGGCGTATTTGCCGGAGTTACCCTATACGGCTACTATATATATATATATATAACAAGTATAACAATAAATAGAAAGAAGAAAACGATTTTTGTTACATACATAGATTAATTAAAGACTTTTACTATTAGCTTTTATATTATATCTTATTTTATAACGAGAGATTAAAATACATTCACGGTCTGCTTGTTAAACATTCATTTAACGTAACTGCATAAGACGGACGATAAATGATCTTGCCATGGTAATCTTACGAAGGATATTTCACCACCGCTATCGCTATCGGCGGTCTTATTTCACGCGAATTACGATCGGACTATCCTTATAGCAGCGAAATACCGCGCATAACTATACAGCGGCTAAATGTATCTATATTCTAAATCGAGCGTAATGCGGCGGTAAGTCTCGATTTAATGAAGACAAATATACTGCGCAAGGTTTCAGTGGAACCGCGAATTAATTTCGATTATATGTTTTTAAATTGGCGTCTGGCGATGTTTATAAAATTATAATGTCTATAAAAGTAAAAAATGTAAAATGAAGAAAATAAGACTAAAGATAATAAGATTAAATAAGAAAATTAAACATTAACATTAGAATTAAATAATAATAATAATGAAATTGCAATAATAATTCTTGAAACTAAGATACGCAAATCTCGACGCTTTGACAATGATGTTGTTAAAAATTTTATAGTTGATAAAGTTTAAATGTGATAAAAATCTCAAATTTTGTGAAGACGATAAATATTTTTATCGACAAGAATGCCATGATTGTTTATTTGATAGGATCTCAGAAGTTTTCAATCTCTTCGTGCTCGTATAATATCTAATTTAGCTTCAGCCAATGCTTTCCACGTTCTCCTTATGCCGTAGCGAGTGTTTATAAAAAAAAGCTAGTCAAGAAGCATCTTCCAAGTTTGCTCCTGTTTCGAAAACGAGTGTAACTTGGAACGCAAGTTCGCAACTGAAATACGAGGTTCGTGTGATATTCTTTTTGTTACAAGCCGTGGTTGTCGAGGTTCGTGAAGTAATATGGAAGTAATATCGAAACTCTTCAGTTGATCTCGAACTTTTTAATTGAACTAGCTTATATAAACAGTTTATTACGTTACGAGATTGACCTTGGATTTATTTTTTAATAAACAATGAAGTATGTAAATTTAAATTTATTTTGTAGGCTACCATTATAAGAAAAAAATTGTTTACTGTGCTTATTGTAATTACCTATACTTATTGTACAATAATTATTTACATTGATTCAGAGACAATTTTATAACTTACATTATATAAATATACAGTGAGTGCAAAAAATATTCATACAGGGAAAATATTTTTTAAAAAAACTTTATTTTTAAAAAGTAAATTTTATCCAGCAAGAAATGAATCATCGAATTTATGTCGAATCGATATCGATACAATGATTTCGACATCAATTTGATTTCGACACCAATTTGACGTTTAATTGACGATCATTTTTTGCTGGGTAATTAACAATTTATTTATAAAGAATAAACTAGACTGTATATGTTTCTTAAAATTATACCAAAAAGATGTGTATTAATTATAGAAAATATATCATATAAAAAATAAGCGAAAATTAAAAATTGTATTGTTTGGATGCTCAAAAAGTATTCGTACAATCGAGAAATTTAGCTTCTAAAATCAGAAATACATGCGAAGCTCGTTTGTTTATGTCAAGCCTGCAGCCGAGTTGCACAATTCGACCGATTTTGTCTATCATCATCCTCACTCCTCTTGTTTCATGGCATTTAGATCGTACGCGGAGACATAAGACACTCGAATTCAGGAATGATATTAGCCGTAATTCGTACAGGGCACTATAGGGCTATAGGACTTTGAAACATATTGCCTTACATTCACTGTTTACAAGTTTTCATTATTATTATTATAATTATAATATTGAAAATGAAAATCGTTTTTTTATTTTTGCACACACACACATATTTTATTTTATTGATTTATTTATTAAAAATGATTGTTTTGATATTTTTTTCAGTATGAAAACTTAATTAATGTACGTGTTCTATTTTGAAGTGTTACTTTTGAGTTGCTAACACCATAATACTAATTATAATAATAATAATGAAAATTTGTAAACAGTGAATGTTAGGCAATATGTTTCAAAGTCCGATAGCCCTACAGTGTCCTGTACGAATTACGGCTAATATCATCCCTGAATTTGAGCGTCTTATATTTCTCCGCACGATCTAAATGCCATGAAACAAGAGTAGAGATGACGATAGGCAAAATCGGTCGAATTGTGCAAATCGGATGCAAGCCTGGTTTATGTTAAAACAGAACGTATTCATTGTATAAAATTGCTAATTAATGTTTATTTTCTACAAATAATACTTTTTTTTATAAAAAATTTCCTTGTACTAATACTTTTTGCACTCACTGTATATATATTGTGTGCGATTCTCTCTTTTCTCTTTAAATGTATAAATCAAGATATTAATATTTACGCTCAGTATCTACGCGACTATCTAAGCTGATGCATATCGGGTTAAAGTGGCGAACTACCAAAGTTTAATTGCATTTGCCTTCAGTAATGAGGGAAACTTATTTGTAAACTACTCATTTATAAACTACTTATTTAGGATATACTAATTAGTAATTCAAAGTTTGATAACTTTGATATTCCCTATTTTATTCGCAATTGCGTCGCGGATATAATCGGAATTTTTATTACGAATGCAAAATCTTTATTATAAACGTAATCTCTCTCTCTCTCTCTCTCTCTCTCTCTGTAATCTCTCTGCTTACAAGACTCAAAAGATTAAATGATGATTATATGTTGTTTTTTATATCATTAATATTGTTTGAAAAATAACTATTTAAAATGTAAATAAATAAAATATTAACATATATACATAAATATATTTAAAAAAATTAAATAATCAAATATATTTGAATAAGTAAAAGATTTAATAGAGAGAGAGAGTAAAGTCTCTCTTTTTTCAAGCTTTTACATCTACATTAGCATAGTTTTTTAAATAAAATTAAATACATAAACATGTTTTTTCTTTCAATTTATGGATAAAATTAAAGCTTACATCTATTTTGCAAATATTTTATGATATTAATTCTCGCGAACCCGAGTTTAATTCAAAGTTGTATTTTCCCATGAATCAGCTATAAGTATGATGAAATGGACGTTGTTAAATTGCGCGGGCGAAACAACCAAATCGAATAACGAATGCAATATTTGAACGCAAAAGCTCACTAACAAGTAATATATCATAGCATATATCATAGCAATATATGTATAAAAGTAAACACATACGTATATTGCATTTTCTCAGCAATGGAGTAACGTTTTCCTAGTTCTAATTCAGGAATCACTCTAATTTTTGGTAACCAAACAAATTATATGTTTTGTTTTTCATTTTAATTGTATAACTAAATTATTGTATTATTATTATTACGGAAAATATTATTGTCCAATAATAACAATATTGATAAAATAATCTCAAAAGAATTAAATATTATGAAAATAAAATAATCCCCACAGCAATAAAATATTAAAATAAAATATTAAAATTCTTTTATATATTAATTCTTGTAAAATTGTTTACTAAGCTGCAATAAAAGATCTAGGTCAGAAGGTCAGAGTTCAAGACTGTATTGCGGTGAATTCAAAATGGAAGTAACAATAAAATAGTCGTATGTCGGGAAGACATTAAATTCATACGGTTTAGCAAGCTGAAAAGGTAGCGTGAAGTAAATTTGGATAACGGCCAAGTAGTGATAAAACCAACGGTGCATCGTACTCGCGGTTGAGAAGGTCGAAGTTGAATAAACGTTGGTGATACGAGTTTAAACAGAAAAAAAGAAAGCAATAATTTGGCAAGAAACAAGTCGCAATAAATTATAAAGTCTAATATATATAAATCTAATAAACAAAAAATATTAATCTCTGTAAGAATTTTTTCTCGTATTTTTATTCGTATTGTAATACGTTTAGATATAATTACTTAATTAAAAAATTTTATTTTTCAATTAAAAGACTTAAGTGTTAAGATTAAGATTTAAGTATAAATATTATATATCAACTAATGAGACTTGTTACAATAATAAAAATCGTCTAGGATTATTAATAACATTTCACACGACAATTGTAATGAATTAAAATTATTATTCAAGTATTATTAGTAATACATAGTTATCCAATCTCTCTAATGTTATTTGTACTAAATTATTACTTATTTAATACTAGTTATATGTATCTGATGTATTTAATTTCTTCTTCAATATATTAATTGTATCAAGAGATAAATTAAAGCAAGAACTAATATTATATAAACTATTTCTTAAGTTATATTCTGGATTGCGTATGTGTGTTGTGTGTGCGTGTTCGTGAACATATAAAATAAAAAATATTAGTTAAATGAAAAAAATTTTATAAAATATTATGATATTTTATAATATTGCATAAAGTAATTATGCAATTATTATTTATCATATAATAATTTATAATTCATCTTATGTTTTAGGAGCAAGGTAGCGGCCGCTCTGCTAAATAAACATCTGCAGATCAATGGGATCTCGGCCGGTTTGACATCTCTACCGACCGTGGACCAATCGTCGCTGGAGCCACAACCGGAAGAGCCGCCAATAACAAGTAGCAGTAAAATGAAAAGAGAGCGGAAGGCAGCTAGAACGCTCGGCATCATCATGTCAGCGTTTCTAGCTTGTTGGTTACCTTTCTTCCTTTGGTAACGTATATTAGATATTATTTCTTTAAGTTTATTCACGAATATATAAGTTCAATTGAGATACAAATAGGATTCAATGAAATTTTAATATCAGTTTTATTTTTGTATTCTCTCTTTCTCTCTCCTTTATATAGTTCGATATATAATATATATATTCTATTCATTATAATCTTATAATAATCTCTATATTATAATCTTGTGTTTATTATTATTATAAAAAGAGATGAAAATGATCGATGTGAATAAAATTCTAACAGAGAAAAAAGGTTATAATCAGGAAAAAATAATTTTTAACTGTTGTTTATAATTACAATTAATTTATTAAAAAATTTAACACAAAATTGCATTAAAAGAACTTTGCTTATTAACTAGGAAAGTTATTGTTTCACAAAATGTTACATAAAAAATATAATAGTATAATAATTGTTATTTTAAAAATATAATAATTTCTTTCGATATTTATTAAAATTTAGATTAAGATTCAGAATATGATCATTAATATAAAGAAGACGTAATCTGCATATGTGACGAAAATATTTTTTTATCTGTGTGTATCTCATATGGAAAACATGCTATACAATCTGTTACGGTAATTAATGTTACTTTCTCGCGCTAAATAGCGTGCAGTATGTTGGCTCCGTGTTCGCTTCGTGTTTGGTTCGTTAATTACGTGGGTGGAACGTATGTGAGGTAAATCGTTGGCGTGACGTTGCGTTATCTTTGAGAGGATTCTTAAACGCTTTTAAAAGACACACGCATACTCACTGAAACTGGTATAATTTTTTTGACTTTTAAAATCGTTTTAATTATCTTTATTATGCTAAATTAATTAAAAATCCTTTTATTTGCACTGCAAAAAGGAAAAAGATGATATTATACACCTTGTTTTATATATATATATATATAATTAATCGGTTTATAAAATTATTTTGATGAGTCAAAACAAAATTGTGTTCAGATTTGTACACATCGAGCTAAATTTTTAAATACTTCAGTAAAACCGTTTTTTCCGTGTACTGTTATTCTAATACTGCTTATATTGGTTGTTAAGAAACAAAAGGAACCACTGACAGATGTTCTATTTTACTTCGAATTCGATAAAAAGTTCGTCGAGAGAAATATTTCATTTAGTAAAGTATTTTAAACAATGGCACGTTTCCGACGAAAGACTAGTCGTGAAACTCGATAATTAATTTTGAGCATAAATAGAACTACATGAGATGTAGCGCGTGTAGAATGCATCTTCATTTTGCCTCGTTTTGTGCAAACAACACGAGATGCAAAAAGTAAAAAAGAGGAGAAAAGAAAATATTGTATACACCAACTGTTCGTTAATTGCTTAATATAGAGCGATCTTACTAACTCAATATGTAAAAACTTTTTCAAGTGAAAAATATTATTGTTGTCACAAATATCAATATACTCGTATCAATAAAAATGTAAAGCAATGATAAATAAAAATAAAACAAGAATTTTTATATGTTGATGCATAATAAAAATTCGAAATTAAGTGTCTTCATCTAAATCTAATGATGTTCTTCTTTACTAATGACGTTATAACATCGCGTATCATCAATGAAGGAACCAATTAATTTTTTTTTTAAGAATCCGTAATAGAGATTTTATAAAATTACTAATAATTTCATGAAATTGTATGTGATTTTATAAAATCACAGATGATTATACAAAAAGACATTTGAAAATTACTTGCATTCATCAAACTTCTATAGAATCCGTCAGAGATTTTATATAATCGTAGAAAATTAAGTATTCTTTCATCGTAATAAATATATTATAAGAAATAAACATATTATGAAGATTTTAATAAATAGATGATCGTGCATAGCAATATACAGAATTATTCGCAGTTTCCGACATTTTATTTATATAATATATATATCATTTCCAAATTACTTAGGATTTTGTGTATGCTAAGAATTGCAAAATCGAACATATACTGATGGACTTACATATGTATATACGCCGCCTTTCATGCATTTTCTTTGAACTACGGATTCTTTGCTCAGTTCGAAATAAATTGCCTCTCAACCGAAAACATGGAAAAAGATCTAAATTTATTACAACTTTTCGGTATCTGACATTTTCTAACAGTTTTCAACGAAACCTTCTATCCTTGTAACTTAAATTAAAAGACTACTATAAAATTTATTACAAAATCTACTAGGAATATAAAAAAAAATTTAATATAAGAAATATAATTTTTAACCTTTAGACTGCCGGGATTTGAGATATTAAACCGTCCTTTAAAAGTGGCCAAATTTGTGTCTTGTATCATGTATCAACTATATACAAAGTTCATATCATAGGCCGAGCCGATATATCGGTTTCCCGGCAGGATAGAAAAAATTTTGAATCATAAAATTTTTTAATAAGTATTAATAAGGGTTTTTAAGGGCGCTGAATTTGATGGTAGTGTCAAATTGTAAAAATTTTCACGATCATTAATTTTTCCATCAAAAAGTGGTTAAAAATATTTTGGTTTTTTAACTCTCCTTTAGAATTACCCAGAGCTAACGACGTGGACGTAGAGAGTATTTATGTAGCTCCTTTTTTCATTTTTCCTTTTTTATTTTTTTCTATTTTTTTCTTACATATGTTTCTTACAGAAAAAAATTATTTTTCTCCAGAGCCGATATATCGGCTTTCCGGCAGCCTTAAGGTTAATAAATAATTTTATTATTTTAAATAAGTAATTATAAGGTTCCGTATGTATAAAACAATATGACAATTAAAAAGGGCATAGAACCAATCTTTAAACAAAACGTATT